GTACTTCTCCATCTTTCAACGGATCAAAACACGGACAACTTCAGCTAAGAGTGACCTCCCCTTGACTGTAGAGAGATGCTAGATTACAAAGGAGGAATAGGGGAGGTTAGATTAGCTGCTGTACTGACAATATGGGAATTCATACCTGCAAACATAACGTCTAATTATTTTTAAAGGAAATTATAATTATATGGAAATCCACAAGACGATGCAAAAATCGCAATCCATAACGGAATGAACCACAGCACTTTTGAAGAAAAAACTGTGACCAATGCTTTGTCAAGAAAAAGTGATTACATTATCTGATTGAGGTGCTTATATAGTGTCAGGATACAGAGCACATTGACATGGGTGGAGGGATTTGCAAATTAGATATTGGCATGGGCATTTAAGTGGAGTATAAAAGACTGGAGCATGCGAGACCAATGCTTAGACAAGCAAAGCCAATGTCAAGGAATAGCAGATGTAGCAGTGGAGGAAAAGTATGTGTTGGAAATAATATTACATAAAATGTCAGAGAAAACTATTGGCAATTTGTGAAAGAGAGAATGTGACAGCTGGGCATGGCAAGTGGGTCTGATTTTCTCCAGTTTATGACTGCATAAACAAATAACATTGAAGACTATAAAATTTAGACTTTTCCTTAGTAATATCTATATCATAATGAGTAAGTTACATTAAATTCCATACTTCAGAGAGGGGTAGTAAAAAATTAGTGAAGGGAGAAGGTCAAAAGAACAAACTTCAATTCTCATTCTAGGGGAGATTTAGGATTTTTAAAAATATTTCCTCATAAAATTAATAATTCAAAACATGTATAACATCAAAATTTGATTTACTAACTATGTTTTGATGCCAAGTATATTTATATACATTGATAATAAATTGGTTTAATTAAGTTTTGAATGTAACTATCTAAAAGGTTGTGATATGTTCACTCTAACCTCTCCGTAGAGAGAGTGTTGAAGGAAATAAAAGATTAGCTATGTCAGCCTCCCTCTTTCATGTTTAGTAGGTCATTAGACAGTGAGCAAGTGACAGAGGGTTTAAGAATTGATAATGTTATAGGCTGGTTAATGCTACTTCTGTACTGGGAAAAATTTCAAAATCTGATGGAAGATTCAAAAATCATTTAGTGAAATTTGATATCATAAAAGAAAGCTAAAATGGATTCACTAAGTGAAATCTTGCCTTACTAATTTATCTTTCTAGGATGTTACATGTCATCTGGACAATTGGAAAAGATGTTGAATAAATGTACACACTTCCAAAAATCTTTTGATAAGGTATTTCACAAAACATTATAAAACCATATCAGTAGGAGTTGAAGAAAAACTAGTTAAATGGACTGTAAGATAGCTGAACAATAAAAAAATTTTATTAACCATTTCGAGACAGATCATGGGTGAATGCCCATGTCATCTCGTTTGTTGACTCATTCAAAATTTTCTTGAACTACTATTTCATGAATTTATGTCAATAGCTTTAGTATCAAACTGTAGATTATAATTCAAATTTTAGTACTATATATCACTCAATTTCTTAATTTAAAAGCAAATATAAAAACAAACACATAAACATGATATGCTGGTTGCAGCACTGGTTCAAATTAGATGTTTGTGATGTCAAAATACTAAGTGTATAGTTTTGAACAAATTAGAAACTCAAATTACGAATATTGACAAGCTAGAATATAAAATTAGAGCCTCTTATCTTTTCAATTTGCTGAGATATTGCTCATGTAATAAATCAAATACAGTGGTACCCCAACCACCTCTTTCCATTTTAGTAAATGCTCCCTTATATACATTTACTTCTATATATCACATGAATAACCAATCGGAAGCTTTCTCAGCCATTTTAAATTCTTAGGATACCATTTCTTTCTTTTGAACCAATATTTCAATGAGGTAGGGGTGTGCATTTAGTCTGCTTGAAAAATTTCATATTTTTTTAGACTAAAATACATCTTAGTTACTAAGCTTGATAAATTATAGCGGAATTCTATGGTATTAATGTAGTAATTTACGATTTTTTTAGTTATTCAAATGTATATATAAAACCTAAAAGAAATATTTGGTTTCATATCCTCCACATGCAAATTTTTTAAAGGCTTAGCAACCAAGTACAAAGGTCGTAACTAGAAAAGATAATTGTTTGCTTTACTTCTTTATTTACATGTTGTATGTTTTAAGAAAAACAAGTTTAAGAACTTATTTCAAAATAGCAATAATCTGTATAAATATGTAATGTATAATAATTGCAATTTGACTGTATTATAAAACACTAGTCTACTAAAACACAGCCAAGACAAGTTACTTTGTACAGACCAAAGGTCAGTTTAATGTTATTTGATACAGTAATATGAGTGCACGTGAGCCGCATCATTATAACTTCTGTACTGTTAGCTAGACATGGCTGAAAGGTCAATATAATAAAAATAATAAATATATATAAATGTATAATGTTATGAGATTCAAGCTATTTAGTCTAAACATATGTTTTCGTGTTATAATCTGTAGTCATTCTAGAATGAAAGAGGCATAATTTATATTTATTTCCTAATTTTTTATGGTGGTTGTGAGATTGGTCAAATCTACCAAACCCTTACAGAGATTAATTACTGAAAGTAACAGATAAAATATAAAGTTTTTTCTTAAGAAATGTTTGATAACTATTTCAACATTATAAAGATTTTGCATGTGAAATTTCAAAATTTTCTGATGCATAAAAAGTATTTTTAATTTTAAAATGAATATTACTTTGCATAATAGATAGGCAACATGCAAAAAAACATTGCTTTACAAACCTTAAGACTTAATAAAAAAATTGATATTTTGCATAAGAAAGCATTGTAATTTTTACTGATAATCTGCCAAATTTCGTTAACATTTGCATACTAATTTAAAAGTTATAGCATAAAAACTATAACAAGCACAAAATGGTTATGAGGTTGGTCCCATGAACCGAGCACTTGCTGAAAGAATTAATATATAAAAATAATTTGTCTATTTATTATTATTACAATTAAGTAACTAAAAAAAAAAATCACTACACAATTTAAAAAACAAACAAAAAAAAGTACATAAAAGAAAAAATACCAGTTACACAGGAATAACAGGTTCTGGAAAAATTATAACATTTTAAAAGGTTAATGGATAGAAAAATATAACACAGACTAAGTGTGAATCATATAAACTTGTTACTTAAAAATGTTTTTAATTCTTGTTGTATAAAGAATAATAGGGACATACTCATTATGGTAATAGTATAATCTAAAAAGTTGGTATTCATATCTTTTATTTCCTTCTCAGGCTCAACCCATTTCCTTACAGGTCCACTTTTCATAAAATGTTGATTTTATCAACAAGTAACAGGACAGTCTCAATATAACATTTCTCAGCTTACACTTTCCTTTACAGCTGAAGTACAGGCAACATACTTATCATGTGGACAATGCTTAGCACTGATTAAGAATTAGCAGTTTATAACAAGTAGAATCTGATTTCCCTGCTAGCCTTACTCAAAACCCTTTGCACTTGAAGATTTGTTTAATTTGAGAATTTACTAAGAAAAAAATTCAAATATTTTGTAATATTAATTTTCCCCATAAGATATCACTTTAATGGAACTGTGTGTTTAGGTCTTAATTAGTAAAGTAAGACTGAATATTTAATAAACTGCTGAAATAGAAGTAATAATGGAGAAAAAATTTTGTAGTTTAATCTAAAATAGAAACTTATATTTGAAAACAAGTTATACATTTTATGTTTCAAATAAACTGGTTTCACTAAACACACTGTGGAGAAAAATTACTATTAAACATAATAGTAAGATACACTACAAACATACAAGAAAAAAATATTTGAATGGTAATCGATTTAAGAAATGCTACTGAAGACAACAGCTACTAATCAAAATTAATATGTAAGAAATGCCTTCCATACTTCCAATTAAATCATGCCCACCACCAAAAATCAGTTTTTAGAAACAAATGTTACAAGCTAAATGCAACAGCCATTAGATTTTTAAAGCAATATACTGAAATTATTGTCTAATATAAAACAAACACGCCCTACTACATTAGTTCTTAAACTTCATATATTCCATTAAAAGTACAAAATTCTAGTACCTTCCAGAAAACCCATTTTCTAGCACTTTCAAGTCCTTGACTGTACCTATACCACATTTAGACACTTTCAAAGTTTTAAGGATATTTACCTTTTTGCAGCTTTAAAGAGCTCTTCTTTCCTATGAGCTAGCATGCTCTCCCTTTCTTGAGGGGATTTTGAAAACCTACAGCCATGACCCATAGATGACAGTGCACGTGTAAGACCACTGTGGGAGTAGAATAACAGTTCACAAATGATACAAACAAAATAATGTACCTTCATTAAGAACAAAAATACCTATATCAATAATACATATAACACAAAGGAGAACTAAAAAACACACACCATGCTGTGCAAAAGTCTTATAGACATTCAGGAATTACATGTTACGAACATCAACAATTTACTCAAAGCCTCTACTAGTGTTTTCTACTATTAAAATAAATTTGACTATTATTAATACAGCTTAGTTTGGTTGAAAAGAAACTAAGTCTGTCATTTAGAAATCTTTAGTTCACATTGATCAGAATCTTTAAAATCTATGATTACAACAACTCAAAGTAAACTATACATGAGCAGCCTATATGAAGCATTAATCTATTACATTCACCAATCAAATCTAACTGATGAAAAATTTTCAGGTGTTCCTCATCATTAACATCATTTGTTCCTCTCTACACATCCATCACAGGTGTAGGAATCAAGTTACAAGTGGGAAGCCTAAGGTTTATTTAAGTGAGCAAAGCCCTGGAAGATATTGGGTTTTGTATTAAATTGTATGCATTCTCTTGTTTTCCCTGAAAGTAGGTTTCCTAATTTTGTTGTATTTTTACCAAGAAAGATTGAAAAGTTGGGGGAGAGGTTTGAGCCCCCTGCTTCCTAAGCCACTGACCATAAAGCTAAAAGATTAAATTTTGTGCTGCAAAGTACAGGATTAACTGTTAGTTTAAAACAAAGTGGTTAAAATTTCAGTAACATATTGCCACAGAATTGTGTTTCCACATAAAGAAGGAAGAAAAACTGAGTAAAATAACTTATCACTCAATTTAAGGTGTGCTATCCAAAGTATAATCAGCAAGTACATAGAAACATGATCTGTAATTGAGAACCCAAAGATCAGAAGACCCAAAAAATGTCTAATAAGAATGAGTAACAGGTGAAGATAATATCCTTAAGGAATAGAAAGTGTTGAATTGACAAAGGAACTGTCAGAAGGCTCAGGTGTCACTGTCCATCCATCAACAGTACAAAGGTCATTTCTGAAATAAGGACTTAAAGGATGTGTCATGGTAAAAAACTTCTGTTAAGAAATGAGAACAAGACTAAAATATGTTCAAGAGTAAAGAAATTGGACTATGGAACAATGGTCAAAGGTGCTTTGCACATACGAGTCAAAGTTGAAGTTATTTGGATTTAATCGAAGGCAGTATGTGAGACAACAAACAACTGAAATTTATAAAGTGTCTTCCTTGAAGCCAACAATTAAGCATGGAGGAGATTCAATTTCAGTTTTGGGGTGCATATCCTCAAGTAGTGTTGGAAAATTGTGGAAAATCAATGATACATTGATTGCAGTAAGGTGCAAACAAATTTTAATCCACCATGCTATCCCCAGTTGTGCAAGACTTATTGGTCCAAACTTCATCCTACTGATCCAAAACACTCAGCTGGAGTCCTTCAATGCATGGAATGGTCCCCTCAAAACCAATATCTCAATATCAATGAATATGTACGGGACTATTTGGACAAAGAAAAAGACAAGAAGAATCCCAGCAGCTCAGATGATCTTTGGAAGGTCATAGAAGAAGAGTGGAACACCATTCCATAGGAGTTTATAACAAGATTATTTGAAAGTGTTTCTAGAAGGGTTTCAATAGTTTTGAAGAAAAATACTTGTCGTTAAGTGTATATTAAGGTATACTGTGTATAAACTTGGTTATTCAAATAAAATATTTTTCATAAAGCTGTATTTCTAGTGAACACAAAGTTTTAGCTTCCTTCTGCATCAGAGTAAACAAATGCTAAATGTCTAAGACTTTACACAGCAGTGTACTTATTGAAACTGAAGTTAATTAGTTCTTAACAAGTACAAAGTTGGCTAAAATGAGTACAAAAACCTAAAATTACTATTTGAAAACAATGTAGACTTTTAAACATAATAAGAACAAAAATAAAAATATATAAAAATCTGTGAAGATTTATATAATGCTTAACTAGATTAAAATTAATTCAGTTCACATTCTATACTGTTACCTATTCAGTCATGAGATTTTCAATTTATAAAAAAAGAACAACAGCACTTCTTCCAGTGAGTTTTAAAACAAAAGGTTAATAAATAGTCCTCTATATTTTTTATGATTAGGCAGACGCACACCGGGAAATAATTTTTGGATAAATTATTTTTATACATTGAACCCAAATGTAATATTTGCCAAGAGATTATATTTAGTTTAGTTACCATACAATCACACAAAACTAGTAAATCTAATTTCACTTGCCCATTATCTTCACTAGAGCTTTCAGAGGTGTCTTCATCTAATGAGAATACAGTGTCTTCAAAGAACTTCCAGTCTGATGTTGATGCTGAAGATTCTCTCTGGTCTGATTCTCTCTCATTGGTAGCTATTGGTTGGGTAGTGTAATTGTCCTGTAAGAGAAGAGTTTTAAAAATTATTTTATATATACGAGTGTAAGTAAATCGACCTGACATTTAAAGCAGTGTTATAAACTCTTGTGGCATTGTAAGATGTGCATAGCACTTACAATTGTTTAAAAATAATTACACACATAAATAAGGATACATTATTGAATGAATACTTGAATCTCCAAGTTTACTAGAATATGCTGAACCTAGCTTATGCTGTAGTTACATAAATAGAGAGCCGAGCAATAGGTGGTATGTGCTAATAAAGTAATTGATGGCTTCATTAATTTATTACATTTGATTAATCCAGTATAATGTTCCTCAAACCATGGTATGTACAAAAAGGCAGTTCAAAGAGAACATGAAAACATTGGCAGTGACAACAGATTTAATCATTTCAATTAATTGATAAGTTTATGTGACACCAAGATGTAACTGATTATATCAGTTAATTGATTAACACACTCAGCTGTACAAACAGAGAAGTCTAAATAAAAGACCTATATAAAAACATCAGAATAAAACTCCAACTTCCAGTTGTATGTATATACATGGTATCCACAACACAGAATACATCAAATTCTCATTTATAGCTGTAGACACAACATGAGAATGATCAATTTAACAGTTACAATGGTATAAAATAATTTATAAAAATAGGGAAAAAGCAGCTAAACTGAGTCTTGGTCACAATATATAGCAAATAAACATACTCTGTAGTAATAACAGAAGCAGCTGATAAACTTAGTCATAGTAACACATAAAATATATATGATCAATGGGATCATTAGAAACAGAAGAAATGATCTATAGTAACAAAGAAATAACACAATATATTCTTTAGCAGCAACAAAAACAGATGAAAAATGTACAAACAACAGAAACAGCAAACTAATTTGTAGTTACTCTGAAGAAACAACAAATAAACTGATTTCTAGTAACAGAAAAAGCAGACGATCCATAGTTACAAAAAACAAAAAGTAACTGAATAAACAGCAAATACACATATTTATACCAGCAGAAACAGCAAACTGATCTGTAGTTACAAGAACATCGTCACAAATTGACTTAAACTGTGCACATAAATAACCTTGTTTTGTCAAATAGACTGCATTTTATATCATAAATAAGTATACTATATCAATTAGTGGTCAAAATGAATCTGAAACTGATCAGAAACATGAGGAAAAGATGAGATTTTAACATTCTTGACGTTTAGATGCAAGTTACTTTCACTTAACGTTTTCACACCAAATTATATCAAAATGAAATAACCTGAAACATTTTCACACAAGAAAAAAAACCTAGTGTATACAGTAAACAACAATGGTATTTGATGAAAACAAAAGCTCTCTCACTAAGACCTGAGAAAAAGATATTTACCTTGTTCTCAGCTAACATTGTTTCAGGCTAAAAATAAAACAAATTTGACATTTCCTGGAGCTATGAACATGTGGGATTTGCTCTTAAAAATACTTTAGTTTTATGTGACATTACTGTAGTTACTTACAAGTTCACAAATATAAGTATATTGTAAGGTAATTTACAACCTTACAATAAACTTTGGAGTATACATACCTGAGAAGAGTCCTGAGTGGATATTGCTGTATGAGTTGTATTGGCTTGAAACATAGGTGACTGGAACCATGACAAAAAAAAAGAATGATATATCAAAACATGTTCTTAAATAGTTGAACAAAGATAAAATTATGTTTAAAAACTTAAATGACCTGAATGAGTGATATACAACTGTTTTGTTTTTTTTTTACCTTCACATTCAAAAATTTTTTTAATCCCATATCTACTAAACTTGCAAGTTATGTATGATTTGTACTCTATCATTAAAAAACTGTTATATATATGTTTGACAAAATCTTCATACATAAAAGTGTATGTAGTTGTAACACTAAATGTTATTCTAGCTACTTATAATCCTGTGGCTGTAACAAGTGGTATGTGCATCTTCTCATGGGAAAGACTACAACCTACTATGTAGAAATGAAGAATGGTCATTTCCACTGGCAAGTTGCATTATACTTTGATATTATAATATGCCTTGTTTTTTTATGGGAAATACCAACAACCACTTGGGTAGTGCAAGTGCTAAGAAGACTAGCATTATTATTTTGTGTATATAAGATGGTTTCTTTCAGTGTGGAACAAATTCTTCACAGATATTTCACCAACTTACAGCTGACATTCTGAGAATTCTCAAACTTCCAATAAAGGTGTCATCTTAAGAGAATACATTTATTTTGATGGCTCTGTGTTCAATAAAAATTGTTGTTTCACACAACTATCAGCATCTCCAGTCTCTTTCTTTTCTAACAACTCAGTCAGAAATTGGGGAATAGTTTAAATTTGCATAACATTTTCTGTTGAACCTCCCGTTATACTGCAGAAACTACCTGATTACTCTAAGGGAACTTAGCGCACCTGAGAATATCACATATAAGAGAACTATTCATTTAAAAAATAATATAGCTAATTGAAATAAACAGACAATGTTTTCAAACTTAATGCAAATATATCCTGTGTGTGTAATGCCATCAGTCTTCATACTTTTTGATAAACTTCATAACACTTATTGCAGTAATAACAGTATGGTCGGTTTCATAATGAAAGGTGGCAGCAGCATATCATTTTAGGATTTATAGATATGTTGTCACAGCTTATACAGATCACTGGAAAAAAGAGCTTAATATAAGTTGTTGCCAATGCCAAGACAAAGTTATTTCATCACACACATGACTCATTCCTTCAATTAGAATTCCTATGTAGCTAATTACCTAAGTTACTAAATTATTCTTTTCCAGTGATTAGTCAAGTGTTCAATTAATCAACCAGTCATAACAAAACAGATATATATATATGTATATAAAACATCGTTGGTCACATCTATTGATTTATCATTAATATTAAGTCCAAAACAGTCTTTATAAACATGGAGGATACAACTGGTGTTCCTGCTATTCCCGAGTCACAGCTGTGATGTCATCTGACTACAGATCCATGTACTTATGTGCCTTTGGTTCATTTAAACATGGTCATACAAGCCATATCCACATACAATGGGTGGTCTGTGAAGGTTTGCCTAAATGTGTGGTCTAAAAGTAGCCTTAATGACCTATGCAGGTGATTGTTACAATGCAAATTACAGTGTTGGGTATTAATATTTAAGCACGGTCATTAGAGTTATCAGGATCAACAATGGAGGAAATATTGTTAAGGACACCTCAGTATCCAGAATTGTTTCATATAAAATGCAATTAACCCTACATATATTATGACTATCATGTTATTGTTTTATCAACCGATTTGAAGATGTTTTGTATCTTAAACTGGGAGAAATTAAAACTATTCATTTTCATTATAACTACCAAAGGCAATGGACTACAAGCATTTCTTTGTTTTATGTGTAGTTATTATTAAACATGTTAATCAAAAGATTACTTACAGGGTGAGAAACCAAACGCTCATCCAAGATGTTCTCTATTGTTAATTCTACAGCATGAGTGGATCTTAAGTCTTCCATGATTAGGTTCAAAGGCATGTGTGGGAACATTTGCTGAACTTGACGGGCCTAGTATGCAGCAGAAAAGGACACATATCACATTTATTTAAATTTCTTACTTCTGGAATTTAACAATTTTCTACATTTACAAATCAGAAGTCTAAAATGCAAAGTTAGATTCATTATTTCAAATTTACAGTTTTCATAATTCATGTAAAGAAATCACTATTCGAGATCTGAGCCACTTGTACAATATTGAGAGAAAAGTTCTACTAAAACTAACAAATTAATTCACAAGTGTTCTATAACACTTGATCACACTGAGTACACCTTGTATAAAAAATAAAAATAAACTATAAACATTTTACATTGTACACAGTTTACTCTTTATATTCTTAGAAACAAAACAGACACATTTTAATCTTAGAGATTAACAGTATACTTTAAAATAACTAAAACCAGTTAATCTTATTTTGTAAATTTTCAAATATATCTCAAATTACACATCTCATGGGTGTTAGAAAATCATCTGTCAACCCAACTCATTGGCAGAAAAAAAATTCAAGTCTGAGCTTAGATATTTCTCAGTAAGATAGGTTCTTCACAGACCTTCGTATACAAATGGTATTTAAAACACTCTTATTTAACCAAGGGAATTTATTAGCCCATAAATATTCAGCTTCAATTTACAATAAGCCTTGCACAAGCTTGGACACATGTGACATTAACCCTATCGCCCCGGGTACCTTTTACTGCACGACACAAGGTTTTAGTGTCTTACATTCAAAATTTTATTAAACCAATAAGAATAGCATAAAATCTTAGCTAATAATCCATATTTTAATAGTATATAAGTTTTAAGTTCTTAATTCTACAAGACAATATTAAAAAAAAAGCTGAATTTCCACTAGTGTGACCCACATGACACATTTTTTCTTAGCATGTCATCATCCCTATTTTATCCACCACCCATTGAAAAAGTACAAAATTAAGTGTAAATTATTCTCAATAAAATTGTTATTGCTCAGATAAATCATAATTTTTATAGTCTTCAATTTGGTTGGGTACAGAGCTATCGAATAGAAAATCAGACCCCTCCTGCGACACCTACCTCTCACATCCTCTCTTCCACAATTCGTTGATAGTTCTCTCTTACGTTTCACTATATATTACTTATAATCAATAGAAAGTCAAAGTTTTCATCTATCAAATGATGTAATGTATAGCATTGTATTCTGAACAGAATATCATCAATTTCACTCACACTACAAGATTTGTTCCTGTGGGAAAGTTAATGACTAGCTTGGATGAATTTGTAACGACTCTCGTCGCATAGTTAGAAAGCCAGGAAAATTTTGAGAGCTAAGTGAATTTGTCTACGTTTTGCATGTTATTAGTCTATACTCTTTGGTGCATTATTTAATTAAACAAAAATCATTAAGTGCATTACTATAAGAAATCAGGTTTAACTGTCCTCAACAGTCGAGGGCAAGAAAAAAGAAGATTGGGTAGGTACTTTATTTCTTGTTTTTCATATTTATTCTTTATTTATTATTACAAAAGTAACTAAAATCTAAAAATACGGATCTTTTTAAGTTATTTAACATTAGATCAGGTAAAATAAGTAATAATAATATAATTAAAATGGTTCACAAGGCATGTACACAAGCAGCTTGTGGGTAATGTAATTTGACAGCGTAATGTGAGCTGCACATTACCAAAGTGATTTACAACATATAATGGCATGGATAGTAGTTAGACACAGTTCAATGGGCAATAAAACAATAACATTTAACTATAAATATATGTATACTGATACAATCTGAAGTCATTCTAGAAAGAAAAAAAGGGTAATTTAGGTTCATTTTGATTTTTTTTCTGGTGGTTACGAGGTCGGTCAAATTGACTGATCCTATTTTGAGATAGGGTAGAGAAAATAACAGATAAACTATAAAATTTTACTGAAAAAACACGTTTGAAATGCATTTAGGAGGTTTCAGGGATTACACAAAGGAAATTTGAGATTTTTGAGATGAGGAGAAGTATTTTTAATTTTAACATGAAACTTACTTTGCACATGGACTATTCAAAATAAATAATCAATATATTAATGGACAAATCTTTATTATATTTTATTTAAAATACTTCACTAAAAATATGATTTTTTGAAAGACTTGTAATATTAACTGAAAGACTGCCAAATTTCATAAAGATATACACACTATATTAAGAGTTATAAGTATTAAATCTATAAAGATTTTAAACGAGTACAAAAAGGTCACACTGACCGAGCCCGTATTGAGAGAGTTAATGGTCAGTCACCAGGTGATTTTAGTAACGTTAAGGGAACTCACAACATGGAAAAGGTTCAACTAATAAAACTCAAATCAAGCTTCTCACAATTAGGGAGTTCAGTGGATGTTAGTACTAACTGACAAGGTATTCATCCCAAGGGTTCACTGCATCTGAAGAAAGGGTTAATATAAAGGAACTAAGATAGAATATTAGAAGCATTAAACCTTTGTAAGAGAATACAAATAAAAATCTCACAGAACAAGTTTTAACACTTCACAACATCATTAAGATGTCTTAGAATAATTATATTGACCACAAATATAAAAATTTATGTTTCAAAATAAAAGTTCTTGAAAAACTTCACTATAAATATGTGATATTTTTACTTACCATGTTGTCTAACTGTGAGGTCTGGACTGCTGGCAGTTGTCGGTTACCCAGAAGATTTGTGTGTGTGACCTCTACTGAAAAGCTAGGAAACCAGCTCACATAACGAGACCCTAGAGATATGGTTATTTATTAAATCAACTGAAATGTATAAAAGTGCTTAGAATAAGATAAACCAAAAATACATGAACATGATTTTTAAAAAATATCTAATAATTAAACTCACCATCAAAATGAAAGAAATGATTTGTTGTCTGATTTCCAGTGTGAGTAGGTTCTCCTTCTTGTCTCCCTAGTGCACCAAGTAAATTGTTATGATTGTCATCACCTGTAGGAGTCCCACCACTACCATCTCCATGCACAGCTAAGGACATTCGGCATGTAGGACAAGAAGAGTCTTGCTCCAACCAAGATCGCAAGCATGAACTAAAAAAAGCTTTTTAATTTAATTTAATACTGTGCAATGAGAGAGATAGGAAAGTAGAATAAACTATCAATACTTATTTTGTAAAATACATTAACAACCAGAAATTGGCATATCTAACAATTCATTAAACTGCAACTTAAAAAAACATTTTCATTAAGCCACTTTTTATCATTCTTATTAAAATTATACATATATGGGATATTTTCTGTTCAAGAATTTAACTCAGAATACAGGTAGGTCAAAGTATGCATGTACAAGTGTTTTACATGGTTACATTTAAGATTTAATTAAACCATTTTATTATTAATGTACATTAACAGGTCTGGCATCAAAATGTAGTTTATAATACAAACTTTGATACAAGTTTTAAATTGTTAATTTCAAATTGACATATTTAAATAAATTCACCTTTATGTATCATGTGACACTTCTTCACTTCAAACTGACCAAACTACACAGTTATAATATAAATATAGCTAAGACAATGTATATTTATAGCCTCCAATCTTCTTGCTTTACCAAAATATAAATCAGACAGTAAAACCCACATTCCAAGCCCTTCTATTACGTTCTATCTTTCAAAAACATGTAAAACATAAAAGTACAATGCCTCAAGCAAGTAATATATTTCTTGTTTTTTAAGCATATTTCTTTACCTATTGTTATAAAAATAACTAAAATGTAAAAATTCGAAACTTTTTAGGTTATATAAAAAAAAATCAAAAGAAAATACCAAAAATTATTCCTGATCACACAATTGCAGCATGATTATAATTTAACTATGCATTTTGGTAACTCTATTATCTGTTTACACAAAACTGTTCTGCTGTGATAAATTGTTTTCACCATACTCTCAATGCAACAATAAAGGAATAAATTGAAATAACTGGGAGATTTGAAAAGTGTTAGCTTTGGCTTAGAATGAACAGTGTGTACTTGTCTGTTACACTGTGCAGCCATTCTGGAAAGGAAAAAGGGTAATTTAGATTTGTTTTATATTTTTCAACTTTTCAGTCTACTCTGTGTTGCTGATTTGGCTACAATTAGTGTTAGGGTAGTGAATATAATACATAAAATATAAAGTTTTACTGAAGAAAACCTTTTAATATTCATTGGTTCTAGAAGTTATGCAAATAAAATATAAAAACATAAAGGTGAAAAAAACAACACTTTTATTCTTAACATGAAAATCACCTTGCCATGCACTCAGACTAGTGAGAGTGTGAGTCAGCTTGACTCCATAAAATTCACAGACAAGTTTTTAGTTAATATACTTTATTACATTTTCTGATTTTTTTGTGTACAACTGATTTTTAATATTACTAAAAGCTTGAGCTACTTTTTTACCAATGAATAGTGGGATTGATCATCACATTGTAACACCCCTATGGCTGAAAGGGCAAGCATGTTTGGTGGGACAGGAATTTGAACATGTGACCCTCAGATTGCAAGTCAAGTGCCCTAACCACCTGGCTGTGCCAGGCCTGGTTACATAGCAGATATAAGGTTGGTAAAATTGGAGAGCAAACACACTTAACAAAAAATTGTAATTTAAATAAGCATGTAAGAAAGCATGAAAACTAATCTCTTTAGGGTAACCTTACTTGTGGAAAAAATGTCCACATGGGAGTTTTCTGGCTGATTCCATGTAATCCCAGCAGATTGCACAGTTTTCACTGTTGTTTTCCATCTCTTCAAGGGAAGTCATAGGATAGCTAGAAACATATTTACATATTACCAAATAACTAATAACTGTGACATGATAAACTCCTCTCTTAATCTAATCATCAGAGAGTTCAACATTAATGAACAATGTTCTTCTAACTTTATTATATCACTGCTGCTCTAATCAAGTCTTACTTGGATTCCATGTGACGGACCACTCGCAGGTAGTTCTTATGTTTCTTCAAGCGATGTCTAATTTCATGGAAAAGATATCTGAGTTGCATGCAAATCACCAGGCTGGCCATAGACAGGAAAATGTTGCCCCACAGCTTCAACATAAACATTTACAAAACAGTGATTTTCTCTTCAAAAAATACTTTCAATACTACTTTTAACATACATGTACATCCTCAAAAGAAAACATCAGTAATTCTATAAAAAATCTAATGATAAAACATGTGAAAAGCTTGAAATGTCAGAGTAACAATGTATACATAATCCTACTACTTATAAGACATATGAATAATCACATCTCTCTAGAGAATTATCAATTCAATAGTTAAGTTCTTGAAATGGTAGCAAATGAACATTTGAAATACATGGACCTGAATGAGAATGTATATATCAGGCTACCTATTTACAAAACCTGTGTAGTGCACACATCTAGAATAAAAGCACATGTAAAGTTTACACGACTTTTTTACTAAATACAAATATACTTTTTCTACTTACCAACATCATTCACACAGTAAACTACACATGTTCTAAATTAATAGAGAAAATTTCACTAATCAGTGTAGGAGCAATTCTATTGATCAGTCTATAATGAAAAGATGAACTAGCGTGAGGTGAAAAACTTGCATTCCTTATTTAATTTGTTCATAAAAACATTTCACACTTGAAAGTTCTTGTCATTAGATATTGAAATTACTTCACCCCTCTTCACTCTATGTTAATTTTACTGTTGGGCCCAATAACCTTATTGTTTATAAAACACTGTTTCAATCACCTCAATGTTAATTTTACTGTTTGAAAAGCACTGTTCTAGTCACCTTAGTCTTCTATTACCAAGGCATCAAACAATACTTGTGCCCCCAACATGGATACATTCCGAACCTGACCTTCTTTTTTTTTTTTATCAACTACAGAACTTTTACTGAGGGTTAGCAAATTATAATTCTTATACAATATGGTAAATTTATGTATTGAAACACCAATACATGTATTCATGGTGATAAAAGTTTAATATGACATGTCAGTTAACTCATTTTAACAAATTTAATTAAACAAATCTTTAGTGGTAGAAACTGATAGCTTTGAATAAACGTTTTTTAAATATAAATTTATGCTTTTTTTTTGACCATTCAAAATTGTACAAAGCTCTCACTTGAAGGTCCTCTAGACATATTAATACAGACAAATTTTTGGAAGCAAGCAACCAAAAACAACTTACCAACATATGAAGATGATGAATAAAGTCAACAACTAAAGCAGTCAATTCAAAAGTCAGTTCACTATAATACACATAAGTTGTTCTCTTTTCCCACACACCTTCGTGATTTATGTCCCATAAGTGAATAAAGTATCTGTAAGATAATTTACAAAACACTGTTTTTTTAAAAAACACTAAATTTATACTACATTCAAAGAAACTTATAACCATACTATAGAAACAGACAAAATAACCCTCAATGCTTAAACAGTATCTAAATTTAAACCTTATTCAAGCATAAATCATCATTTCTACCTTAAATTTACAGAAAGAATGCTAAGGAAAGAGCAGTATTAATATGATATATAGATAATATTTATCATTTACACAACTGTTTCTGTAATCTTAAGCAAAACTGCATTTTAAAATACAGTAAAATAACATTATAAAATAAATGTAATAAATCTATAAAACAAGTGTTTCTTAGTTCTTAAACAAACTTATGAAGATAAAGAGAACTGTGATATTTAGTCACTTGCTTTGCAGACTTCTTTACATCAGCAAACTAAAAGAATTAATAATTTCCAACAAAGATCAATACAGTTTGAGCAAAATAAGCCCCTTGATGATTGTTAGAGATGAAAATTTGACGTACATAGGAAACAGTAGCATAGCTGCCAATTCCATTGATCTTGACAAAGTCTAAATGACCCCCCCCCCCCCACAGGTTTCATATGACAGGAGGTATTTCTTTGGTTCAAATTATATAGTATGACTTCTCCACCCACCCCTCCCAAAAAATTAACACTATCATGTCAGTAGAAGTCATAATGTATGGAGAATTTAAAAATCTTAAGACTAAACCCTGAGATCTCTGATGAGGGTGGATGAATGGGTATCTGGGAAGAAGAGCTCCACAGTGGAGGATCACCACCACACCATTTTCAGTGGACATACCCTTGTTTATCTGGGCTTCCATGTGTACTGATCAGTTGGTTAATATCTTGTTACATACTTATGATCACAATTACTACAAAACTGTGGCAAAAACTTAAAAAGAAAAATACAATCAATAGAGTAAACAAGAAAATCATCATAAACACTATAAAATGGGGGAAATGGATCATTGCATTTCCAGGACAAGTAACATGTGCAAAGTATACCAAACAGCCATGCTTTCTTACAGCAGGATATGTGAAACAAAAAAAAACTAATATCAGTTTATGGAATTTCTCCAGGTATAACTTTCCAAGGTATTAGGGATTAGTGTCTTCCAATTTTTGGGTGAATGTAGTGTAAAAACTACAAGGAAACCTCCTCACAAACATAGAAGATAAATGGAAGGGAAGTTGAGGAATGCAACCATGTTCAAGAGAAAAAATTCAAGCACTATACACTCAATTTACTTTAAGCATTTCTGGATAAATATATGCATTTAAGTTCAATCTAAACAACATACATTTAAGCACACAGATCTAAATGTCTTACTTACTTCCATGTACCTGTATACATTCATCTACAAAGTTTACTAGAATACCTAAACCTATTTTCTTCAACACTTTTCATGCACACACACATTTATACACATACAAAAGTGAAGCTATACAAATGTATAAGCTAATATTTCTAAATCAACGAAGTCTTAGAAGAAGACAATTGCCTAATGATACTAGTATAAAAGATACACACATAGTTCGTTTAACAACAACAACAAAAAAAAAAAGATTATGTCACTGTTCCATATGTTAATTATATGCTCTTAAATCAATTCATCAATTTTAGATATGCTGTAAAACACTGACTAAAAGTACTTCCAGTTTCTCTTGCTAACCCTATGTAATGACCTTTTACAGAATGCCAATTAACATAGTTTTATGTATTGATGTCAGAGTTGCCAACTTATCATTTTACCCTATACTGCATTTAGCAACAGTTTGTGGTAGGAGAGAGTAAATACAGATGAAATATAATTTGATACTGAAAAAAATTGTAGATATGCATTTGGAGGTTCTAGAAGTTATACAAATATGATATGCAAATCATACAATGAACAAAACTATCTTTATTTGTCACAAAAACATCACCTTACACTCATAAATTCAATACATCTTGAGTATAAATACTTGTAATACAAATGATGTTTTGTGTACCACAGACTTGTATTCTTTATGAAAAGCTTGCCAATTTTGTGTATATATATACACATAATAAATTCAGAATTATGGTCAACATTCCTTCTCCATAGGACCTACCCATGCATATTCTATTAACACTCAAGTTGCATATAGACTAATACTAGAGATTTCGTGCTGAAAACCCCAGTATTTACAGTAATTTGAATTTCAAAACTAAATATGATACATAGTTGACAATAAAATATTCAAGTTCTGTTCAATAAGAAATCTTACCTTGCAATGATGTATAATGTTCTGACTGTCACAAGGGCACACTGTAATGAAAAACAAAAACTAAGTAAATATATATTTCCCCTGCCAACTATTCAAATTCCTTTTTTATACAAAAATCCAAAGCTTTGATATTATACCATGAACAATTATTTCTTATTTTACTCCTGTTTATAGAACAACACTCACACAAACAAGTATAGAGAAGATTGTTCACCACAATCTACTGAAATAATTTAGATATCCAATTACCTTGCCCGTGGCCTGCAAATAAGCAGGTTTAAAAGTCCTAACTATCTTATTGCAATTCAGCTGAAGTATGATAATTTGTAAGTGCAGATGGGGTATATATTAGAGAACTTTCTGATATAAAGTTCTCCTGTTCCATGATTATAAAGATGTACAAGGTACAAACTATTATCATTCAAAAAAAGGGTATCTGTAGTGTTCAATCAAATTCGTACAGAATGAGAAGGTGTGAGCTTAGCATGAAAAAACAGGATACTAATCATATGCCAGAGATAGTGAAGAAAGGTCAATAGCTTGTCACCAAGATCAACCCAGGAACAAAGAGATCCACTGCAGCAAAAGTATGAACCTCCTTCGGAACAGTACACAAAATTCTTCATGTGGATTGATGTCTACAAAAGAAACAACAGCCACATTCACAAGCTTCTCCCAAAGCACAGCTGTAGCTAAAAGGAAGACTAACCATCAAAAGCTATATAAACAGTAACTGATATGTGACAAATGGAAGTGTGTCATCACACTGGGTGAAGTATACTCTACTTAGTCTGTAACTGTGAGCAATTTATTATTGTCCTGTTCATGACACAATCTTATCAAAATGGTACAAAGTAGTTCATAAAAGTTATTCCAAGGTACTTATGATGGTTGTATATTATAGCTATAATGGTAAATTTAAACATCTAGAGAATCAAGAAAAATTATAAGGTGAACTTTTCGTATCATAACGTTAAGCTGGTGACACCATTAAGTCATGAGATGTCACAATCTCTGTACAGTTTAGATATCCAAGAAGACAAAGCATCCACATTTAAATTATATCAGTATCTTTACAAATTCAAAGCAAAAATGATAATTCATACTAGACATCTCTCATGAACATCTGTATCTTTGTGTTGCTCAAAAAAACCCTTGGAAGCCACCATTCATGCACAATTGACAGACCCTAGAAAATAAATAAAGTGGAGGGAGACAACATTGAAAAGAAATGAGATACAGTGGAATCAACTGGATAAAATGAAGTTTGCTGATGATCTGGCACTCCTCTCACACTGTCACAGCCAAATGCAAAATAAAATTACTCCTTAGAAACCATCTCAGCCAAAATATAACTGCACATCAGTAAAGGCAAAAAACCACATTAATGAACTAGAACAACGGTCTCTTTGGAGGAAATCACATCTTTACATACCTAGACAGTGTCACTGACAAGATGGGTGGCATAAAAACAGAAGGCCAGAATTAGTAAAGCGAAAGCAGCCTACCTGACTTGGAAAACAGTGTGGAATTTCAAAGAAATATAAACTACCACAAAAGATTATGATTTTCAATCCAAATATTAAATCTGTGCTCTTGTAAAGATCAGAAACATGAAAGGTGACAAAAATAATTCTGAACAATCTCCAGACACTTGTTGACAACTGTCTGTATAAGATTCTATATATCCAATGGCATAACAAAATCAGGAATGAAAATATATGAGACAGGATTCACTAAAAACCTATTGGACAGCAAATATAGTGCAGAAAGCACTATAGATAGTTAGATACAGCATACCCTAAGGAAGGTGATACTCAATATCACCTGCCAGACTCTGACATGGAACCCGCAAGATAAAAAGAGAGGTAGATCTAAGAGCACTTAGCAAAAAGACACAGAATTAAAGACAACAAGGTACACCTGGAGAGAGGTATAAAGGACAGTCCAGAGTAAAAATAGCCTATGCTCCATATGACTTGATAGGCTTAAGCAAGTAAGGGGGACAATATTGACTTCAGGGTATTGTACAAAAGCTTCCTGCAGTGGAAATTTCATTGCATAGCAATAGTCCATAGCCAGGGCTATCATATGAAACACCAATGTTGTTAAAAGAATTGAATGCAAAGCAATGCACTCAACCTTGTATTGTTACCATAGGTAGTGAACACCATTCTCCATAGAAAACAATATGGTACAGATGTTCCAAGACCTGTGTCTGTTTTAACCCTTTGACCACACTCACCCTTTAAACCCCTTTCTGCACGTCATAAGATTTTACCGAGTTAAATTGAAAACTGAATTAAACCACTTTTCTATAAACATATTTTAATGAAATTACTATTATCAAGTACATTATAATCTAAGGTTTTATATTATCTAAGTTTTATTCCTTTATTTTAAAAAGAAAACTCTGAAACAGTAATAAAAACTGCAGTTTTTGCTATCATGTGATTCACTGTGGTTAAAAATTCTCAAGTGTGAGAGGTCTTACATAAGAAACTATGAGTTGCTAAAATAGACTGTCAGCATAGATGTTTAAAGTACAGTTCCAGCTGTCTCTTGGTAGCTGGGAGAAAATTTCCAAGAATTTCTCCCCATGTGAAACAGCATTCTAATATTTCCAAGTTTAAGGTCAGATGGATCTTTTGTATGAAACAGAAAATAAGCTTAGTTCATTGTTCTCTTGAGGGATATGTAATGTTTGACATGTGTTTCTCACTTTATATGTATTAGTTTGCTAAACAGTTAGATTACATTTAGGTTTTACATTTATATCTTAATTATGTATTATTTGTGTTTTAAAATGCATATTTGAAATGTTTATGATTTTTATACATTTAACTTGTTGTAGTTGGCTTACCAAAATGTCTAAGCAAGATGGTGTAATTCGCGTATGCGAGCGTAAGTGTTTGGAATTTGTGCATAAGACTCACCCTATAATAACAACAGAGCAGGACATGTTGTCAGTGTTGGGATAATGAATAAAAAAATTGGAAAGGAAAATTAAAAATAAACTACAAGTGAAAAGATAAAGATGTGGAATTATGCATATGATAAAAAGAAGTTTAAAAACTATTCTAAAAAATTTAAAGGTATATATTTACTTCCATTTGTTAACTTTAAACATTATATTGCACTGTACATTGATGATGATATCTGGAGTTAATGATATAATAGAGAAAATGGAAAACAAAATATAAACATTTACTATAAAAAACTTTTGATATTCATTTAGGAGGTTCTAGAGATTACATAAATGAAATATGAAACTGAGAGATAAGAAATAGTATTTTTATACTCAAAATGAAAATCACATTGTATGTGAACTAATCAGAGTCTGAGTGGAAATAACTACATTAAATATTTTATTTTTCTAAAACTGCATAATCTTAGGACAGTTCAAGTTAAATTTAAAACTATTTCATCAGCTAGTTTTGTTTTTGTTAAGAACTTTCACGAGAGTCACATTGTAAGTAGGTTGTAGTCAAAGGGTTAATATATATAATGTGCCCATCATTATATGTGTTAATTTCAAAATTTAAATTCACATACAAACTAATAAAGATTATAATTTTTAGTTATTTTTAAATTTAAAAAAATGAAAGTTACATTAAAAAAATGTTGACAATAAGTTACCCACATTAACAGAATTTTATAATAAATATTTACATTCTAAATTTTCTGGAACATGTTTAAATGAATAATTATCAGTTAAATTTTTACGTTAGTACTATTAATGTCTTCACTGCTATACACTGTCACTTATTTTCTTCTGTGAAATAAGTACACTATTTATGCAGGAGAAAATTTCAGGAAATACAAATGATCATTAAATACTACTGCATTTTAAAGCATAATTTTAAGAAACTTTGCAAACAACTTTTTCCTAGTTGCACTTCTCATTTACCTTATACAAAAATATTAATCTAATTAGGTTTTTAATTTAAAAAATTGATAACTATTTTACAAACAAGTTTATACAAATTAGGCTTCTGACATAAGCTTTTTTAAACAAGTTAATCTGGTAATCATCTATCACATGCAAAGGTAAAGTATTTCATTCATGAGGTTTGGAAATACAACATGTCTACTGTTTGCCCAAAATGTATTGAAGCAGTTTTATGAATCTGTAAACAAATGAAAAATATACCTCAGCAACCATAAAAGCAAAAGTGTTGAGGCCAGCCTGAAGACCCACAAACACACAAAGAACGAAGAGGCTTGAAGAGGATATTAATATGACGCTCAGTAGGGCTAGTAAACGAACATGAGTCCATCTTGATGTCATCGGAGATAGGGAAAGCTATAATAATAATTGTAACTTAATGAAAACAATACAATTTCTAGAAATCTTCAACATAGATAACCTAAACAAAAACAAAATATCTTATAACATCTAAATAAATTTTATAATGTATAGTTTATAATTCTAATATGATCAGAAACTGACAGGTAAGTGATTCATCTTCATGGTATACTGAAATAACATACTAGCATCTATTACAAAATTATTCAGTGCTTCAGGTAATAAACATTATCCAGACATACAAATTTTAAAAATCTGTTAAACAATTTTTAAACTTGTGTGCACCAGTAGGGGCCCATGACCTTTTACAGGTTGCCTTCAACATGCTATTATATATTTGAAATCATGGTTATCAACTATTCATTTTACCCTACAATGCTGAGTTAACAACAGTTCATGGTATAAGAGAGTAAATACCAGATATAGTGTACAGGGATACTGAAAAAAACTGTAAATATGAATTTTGGAGCTTCTAGAGGTTATGCAACTACAATATGCAAACTGTACAATGAACAAAAGCATTTTTATTTTGCACACCAACTTCTCAGAGTCCAAATCAGTCTAACATAATCAATTCAAACATATATTGTGTACAAATACTTTTGTAACAAACAATTTTTGTTTACAACAGACTTGTACATTTCACTAAAAACTTTCTGTAAAATTGAAATTATAGTCAAAATTACTTTTTCAATGGACTGACTGCATACATAATGGATTGACACATTCCACAATGAGCTTGGCCAATTTGACTGACTCTGTAACTACAAAGTAATCATTACTGTTTCCATATTACAACTTTTAATATGATATGTGCTTCATCATAGAATTTGGCAAGCTTTCAGTAAATGTTACAAGTCTTTTGTACACAAAAAATCAGTTATTTTAATTAAGTACTTTTACTCTGTGAATATACGGAATCCGATTTTTGACTACTACAATGCAAAGTGATTTTCATGTTGACATTAAAAACATTTCTTCATCTGAAAAATTTCTAATTTCATTTGTGTAACCCTGAAACCTCCTAAATAAATATTATACATTTTTTCATTAAACTTTTATATTTTATTTTATTTTCTCAACCCTGACACTAAGGGCTCAGTCAATTTGACCAACCTGTAACTACCATGAAAAAAAAAAAGGAAGAAATAAATCTAAATACCCTTTTGTTTTCTAGAATGACTTCAAATTGCAACTGAACACTACCAGTCACTACATGTATTTGCAATACATATGTCTCTGGGACACCAAGAGGCTACAGCAGATAGACAAAGTCCCTTCACAAAGGTATCTCTACAGAAGGAAAATATGCAGTCAATCTAACCAAGGAAGAAGTCAGTAGGAGACGCCACTTGTCCACAAATTGATGTGGGGACCACTGAGTAGCTGCCAACAATTTTCAGGGGGAAGAAACATAACAGAGCAAGAGTGAGGAGCAAACAAATATAAAAAAAATGTGATTAGTTCAAAGTGATCACATGAACCAACCTGGAACACACATATCCAAAATTAAATGATTTTAGTCTGTGGAATTGAATAAATACATCCCCCTGGAGGATGAAAGCCAAAGCATGTCAAAATACAAATCAGGGTACAAGGTATATCTATCCCATCATGTAACAAAGCAGTAAATCTCACAGCGTAAATCAGGGAAGTGTAGACTCAAAGGTCACAGTGAAAAGCCCCTAAAATCTCATAAACCCAAATGACTAATTGAAGAAAAAGAGTAGGAGATGGGTGATCCAAGGTGAACTTCTGAGAAGCTGACTTAGTAAAGAAAAGCATCAGAAAAATCAAGTGCAAAATCTCTCCAGAATAGCCAGGATCAACAACAACAACAAAAAAAAACTTCAGATGTCCCGGAAGAAAACACCCCCTGGCAAAATGTACTTCTCCATCTTTCA